TGTGTTTTCTGCATCCGTGTATTTGCAGAGGCCCATGCCACGAACTCTTAGATCCAGAAGTTTGTCTCTTCTAATGATCCAGTGTGCTTAATAATTAGCAAGCCCTTTTAAACCCTATTGCACTTCCCACTTGGTTGTTAGGAGTGCTTAGGGCTAACATTTGAGCTTAAATCAGAAACGTTTTCTTCGCTTCAATTTATATATGTTCCTCATCTATCTTTCCACTTGCCAAACCCCTTTAGAAAATCTGCCTTGATATTTTTATTGTTACTTAAATGGGTTAGAATTTTACTACAGTAGCCCAAGTCCTGAAATCCATTTTGGAAGTAGACAAAAAATAAGTGGCTCTGGAAATGTTAGCATTCCAAACAATCTAGAACCAGGATGTTTCCAGGTTGCTGAGGGCAAATGCCAGTTTTTGGTTATTTGGGGAGTTACTGCCAGTTTCCTCCCAGAGCCATCATTAAACACCTGAGCATTTGACATGAGTTTGGGGTTCTCTGTCTTGTATCAGGATGCTGGCTAATGACTGACCAGGCAAGATTGGGGGCTCCTCTGCTTTTTGATTGCTGGGGAGTAGGCCTTCTACTCTGGCCCAAGTGCAGTCTGAAGCTGATGATTCAGAACCAGAAACTGTTAAAGCAGGAAGGGACCAGACACCATGTAGCTCAATCCTCTGATGTGGTAGACTCAGAGTTAGCCAGTGGCAGAATGGATATGAGAACCTTCGTCTCTTTAACTCTTAAAATTTCAGGGTCCACACAGATTAGCTTAAGGATTTTTAGACCTTTGGCCTCCATTTTGCTAAGAGCATTGGATAGACTCAGTCATTACCTGCCTTATGACCTTGACAGATGAATCCCATTGAACCTAGTTACTCATTAGTAAATGGAGATTGTATGTTCCTTACTTTACGGGGTTACCTTCTGCCATCCCAGGTACAAACCATTGGGATGTATGTTCTTCGTGTTCTCCTTCTCCATTTCAAAGTTAGATGAAGACTTAACTGCTTTGGGCCCAGGCTGACTCCAGCCCCTTTTCTCAGCTCTGACAAAGCTGGCTCAACTATTGGCCATGTCCATTTGCCATGCTTTTGTTCTCTCTGGGGTCTTGGTTAAGTTCCTTCTTCATGGGCCACCTTTTCTTTGCTTTTTGTTCATCTTCTAGTCCTCTTTCAGATTTGACTTTCTCTTAGGTTCTCTCCCTTTCGCCTTAGTGCCCTCTTGAGCTCTGGATGGTATCAACTTTTGGAAGGTAAAGACCATTTTATTTGCTGTGTTTGCATCTGGAATATAGGAATTTTTTTCATTTTAATGAGATATAATTGAGATGTTTAAATGAATAAATCGCTTACAAGGTTATACATGCAGAATTCCTCACAAAACTATACTCTATTTTCTGTGCTAATGTGTACATATATATATTTATATATACATAATATGCATATAAGCTAAGACTCTGAACTTGTTGCTGAGTCTTTGGCAAGGATGTCCCAATTCTGTATCCTATCCTCTCTGCAGGTAGGATCAAGGCTGATTCTGATCCTGTCGGGCTTTCTGGGGGAGTGAAAATAAGCAGCAGTACAAGGTCTGAAGAAAGATCTGGGAGGGGAGAAGTTTTGATAGATGGAAATAGGATAATAATATAACTGGGGAAGAGAGTTTCTCTGAGAAATTATTTCTTTTCATGTACTTTTTTCTGATTTGGTGCATATTAGTTTGAAAACTGCCCTTTGAAATGCTATTTATAATTATTTCCTTACAGTGTTTTCTCTTTGGAGACTGGGACCTGGGAGAGCTACTAAAGCCTTGAAAAGTAATCTCTGTGCTAAGTGTCTTGTTCTGTTTGTCTAGACCAGCTATAGCAACTGTAGGTGTTTTTCCAGTGAGAAGTGTCAACAGAATCCACTCTCTTGGCGTTGAATCCTGTCTCCTTCACTTACTGATCTGAGACCTTGGACAAATTGTTTCCCAGAGCCAATTTTGTCACCTGTAAGAGTCCTAATGCCACTTCACCCCAGGATTTGTAGAAGATAGGTACAAGGTCTTGGCATAGTTACCATCCCTTCACTATTACTATTATTTTTCCTCCTGCTCTGGATCCTAATTGACATCTTGCTGTTTGGACATAAGTGATGCTTCTTGGCTACCTCAGCGGAACCTCTTCCCTGTCTTCTATTGGTAAAACAGCTGTTGTTGTGAGGTAAAACCTCACAGAGCAGACCTTTGTAAACTTTTGCAAATCCTTGGAACTCAGAGCAGATATTCTCAGTACAGACAGGAATTAAGTTGAACCTTTTTCCCAAGGTAAAGACAATGGGGCTCCCATTAATAGACGGTCTCTACATCTTAGGTTAAGACACACACACACACACACACACACACACACACACACACACACACACACACATTTGTCTTGCATGTGGAAAGAAGTGATTAGTGATCGTAATTTTCCCCTGGGTCTCTTCGCTCACAGATGGTTGTTGCTGGGCAGGCTTCTCTAGCTATGGGATGAGAAGTGAGGGTGTGGTCAGTTGTTACCTTTGTCCTCCACAGTGTGTGAATTGCAGTGGCCTTGGTCTGCAGAGTGGTCTGTCCTTGATTAGATCAAACACACCCAGTTTAATGCTTGGCTTTCCTTCACTTTTCCCTCCCAGCTTTGCCTGCCTCTTAACTTTGGATTCTTATCTTTAAATGCAGACAACTTGAAAATGGCTCTGAATTCAGTTGCTTCTCTGTGCTTGTTCCTGTGCCCTTCCATCTGTGAGCTTTTGTTTTCTGGCTGCTCGTGGTCCATATTCCGCTGGTCCTTGCTCAGATGTTACCAGAACACTCATTAACACCACTGATTGCTCAGTTTTGACTTCTCAGAAATAAGACTACTTGCTATTCTTGCTGCCTGAAAATAGTGTTTCTTAATCAGGTCTTAAACTCTTAGGACTTTGTTCTGTAAATCCATATATTATACATGTATTATATATTACTAATATTATTATAAATTTTTTTTTCAACGTTTATTTATTTTTGGGACAGAGAGAGACAGAGCATGAACGGGCGAGGGGCAGAGAGAG